GCGGGCAGTGCGGGCGGTGCGGGCGCCATTCCGATGGAATAGCCGTCATGGACATATAACTCCGACAGAAACTCGTGTGCGGAAGATAGGAACATCTTCGTGCGAGCACAGCAGCTTTGCGGAACCTCTTTTCCTCGTCCTGCGTAAGACTACGGCCAAAAGCAGGGACAAGTTGAACCCCTAAGATCTTAGGGCAAATCAGAACTCTATCGGGCGGGGCCCCTGCCTCGACAAGCTCCCTCCTTCCGGGAACAGTGCGATGAAAAAACTGTGTCTTGTCTTGGTTTTCACGCAACTTGAGTTGATTACTCCAAGTGCGCCAAGCATTCGTTAATGCAATGCACTCGCTAGCACTGTTACAGGCAAAGGTCCTGTCATCGACATAAGTGGCAAACTCAGAGCCAGCAAACCGCCTCCTAATGTCGAGATGTGGCCCAAGAAGGGTAGCAGCTAACCCTAACATAGACAGCGCATCACTCTGCGGAAGGGAAGAAGTGACGAGCCGTTCCCTTGCAAGTTGGAGGCATCTCTCCTGGTAACACCAAACCTTAGAAATCATGCTGGCAATACTGCTTGGCATGCCCAACCGTTTGAAGACACGCAATGGGATGATGGGATCAGCGGAGTCGAAGGCAAGAGAGAAGTCAAGCGACCCCACGTAACATCCCTCATCAACAGACTGAAGGATAGGGAGAAGAGCCTCAGAGGCAGAGGTTCCCTGCCGACCACCGTAACAGTCCTCAAACCACCATTGCGATTACTGCGAAGTCTGGCGCGCCCCCAGAGGCGCCACCAGGCAGACAGTACGCGAACACGGCGTAACGCATCTGCACGAACAGCATTGTCTTGAGCACGCACCCCTTTGCTAGGCTTCGGCAAATGCACTTGACAAACCAGCGTCCAAGTGCGAGGTACGAGACCTTGCGATTCAAAATGGGCAAAAACAGGTGCGATTTGCTGCCAAACGCTGGGAGGAAGAGTAGCCAAGTCGTCCCCGGACCACCCATCTAAACCACCGCTAGAACCCATGAAAGCTTTTGAGGCGGACGCAAGCTCAACAGCAGTGAGCGGTTCCCAAGCAAGAGACGGGCGCCTCTACTCGGCAATTGCTTCATCCAGTGTATGAAGAATGTGTGGAAAATCAGGATCCTGGCGGCTCCAGATTGAACTCCCAAACTCTTTCAGCTTTTGGATGCCCTCAAAAGGGGACATGGAGACCGGCGAGTTGTTCCAGTAGAGATTATAAATCGGTGCTCCAGCATGGCCGCGCAGCCATTTGAACACTTCGTCACAGACAAGCAGTTTCTTGCGCCATTTGCTGAGATGCTGCTCATTGGAGGCATCCATTGGGATGGACTGTGAGGTTTGAAAGATGCGACTTCTGCTACGAGACTGACGGATGCCCAAGGCAGGCAGAAAGGCTGCAGGGTGTTTATTAACTCAGATTTTGTTCTGCACAAAACACGGGACCGAGTTTCGGGGATGGAGGGACTTAGGGAGGGGTTTAGGCCTAAGACTCGTAACTTTGGCGTGGGCATGCCGGAAAGCGGTTTCCAGCGCAGCACTGAAGCTTTGCCAAACTTCATCGACGGATTCCTGCGTATGAGAGAGCGCAGGTGGAACCCAGGCACAGGCTTTCCAAGCTGCATCAAGATGAGAGCGCCACTCATCCAAAGAGATGCCATCAGGTTTGCTGTACCTGTCACACTTGCGGAGCGTGGACCCCTTAACGTCAGGTAAGCATTTGTCACAATGCAACTTCAGGCTCTTATGGTCGGACAGCCGTTGGGAACCTAAACAGGCAGTAACGCGATGGTTTGGCAAATTAGTGACTGCGTAGTACACGCAGCGATTTGCATCCCACCGTGTTGGCAACCACGTAGAGTCATCCATATCAGGGTGGGCATCCTGGACATGAGGCTCTAACGTGCCGAGGTCCATTGTTGGATCAGAGGCAGCACTGTCGATTAAGTCGAGCATGCTGTTGCTAGCGCGCGGGACATACACAGGTTAGGTTGCAAAGGCTGAGGTCCTTGGACCGGGGCAGCAACTACTGAGACACAGAAGGCATAAAAAAGGAGTTCTCACTGGGGGTCAGACTCCAATCACCAATGAAAAGGAAAGGGCTCTTGGAGTACTGGGCAAGCCTGGAATTCAAAAGTTCAAGAAACTCAACTTTATCCTCATTTGGGGGACTATAAACCCCGACAAGGAGTAAACCGCCTACCCAAACGGCTAATGCTTGTCCCCCAGGCCGGGAGATATGCAAACACGCTGTGTGGGGAACACCTCTCCTAACAAGGATCAGGACCCCACCAGTAGGTCTTTCAAGATCAGCACGCGTCTTGGGCATCGGGGCCTTTGACAATGTAAACTTTATACCCCTGATGCCACGCAGTACTGGAGAAGGCATCCAGTTCATTCTGTTTCACGCGCACTTCCTGCACCACAGCAAGAGAGACGTTGCTTGAAATGACCAGCTTAAAAAATCCCAGACTTTAGGCGCATCACCCGTATTAAGGGACCAAGCAGAAAAACCTTTAGCCAACAAACGGACCGTGCTGTGGCGGCGAGGACCTGCATGCCCTGCTGAACAAGGGCTGCAAACACCAAGATTGCATATGCCAAAGGAACCTTAGGCAGCAATGCAAAAGCGGATTTGGGAGAGGGGGAAGGAACCGTAAGAGGAACGATTCCCCCCCTTACTTGTCAGGACTTTCCCCGAGGAGCGAAGTGACCCAGCCACTCATTGGCTTTTAGCTATGCTAACCCCCCAGAGCTTGCAAAGAACGCGTTTTTGGGAGAGCATCTTGGCGCTCCATGATCGCACTCGACCATTACCAGCGCGCACGCTGTCATGGTCGCACGTGACCTTCCACACT